GGGGAGGGGCCAGCTTCTGTCTGGTGGTCCTGAGGCTGTTTCCTCACCCTCCTGGGGCTCACCATGGACAAGACTCCAAAGCTCAGAAAGCCCTTCCGCTGTCATCCTGTGTCCCCTGACCTTCCCATTTTTAGGTCACCGAATCCTTTCCTCCCCTGTCTGCTTCTCCACAATGGGGGCTTGGGCTGGGTCGCTTTTATTGGGGGAGTTGTTTTTAAGCTTGCCAGTGCTGGCAAGTGACTCACCCAAGGTCATGGTCTGAGTCAGCACAAAGCCGGAAATAGAACTCTGAGTCCCCAGTTCTTCCATACCCCTGCCCTTCCTTCTCCGGGGAGAGCAGGAGCTTTCAGGGATTTGCTGGTCCTCCCTCCTCTCCTTTGGCAGGGGTTCAGTCTACACCCCCCAAATGTCTCTAGGTTGCAGAAGTGCTGCCCCTGACTGGCTGTATGACCCGAACAAACCCCTTCACCTCTCTGAGCCTCAGTCTACTCTTCTGAAGAATGGGGGTAATAATGGCAATTATCACACAGTGTTATTGTGAGGACTAAACGAGGAAGTGGGGCAAAGGGCTTGGCACCCCACTTGGCACATGGTTGATAATCAGTACTGGTAGCCATGACCTGTCATATCAGGATTTCCCACACTGAATTCTCATCATCTGTTTCCCCCACTGCACTGGGGCCCTTTGAAGCGGGGGGCTGTCTCCTCTTGTGCTTGTTGTCCAGGTGCCTGGCACTCAGTTTTCTTTTTCACTTATGTATGTACTTACCCATGTACTACTAAGAATAGTTCACTGATTTTTAGAGAGAGAGGAAGAGAGATAGAGAAACATTGATGTGAGAGCGCAACATTGATTGGCCGCCCCCTGCACGCCCCCTCCCTGGGATCGAGCCCATAACCCACACATATGCCCTTGACGGGGAATCAAACCAGCAACCTCCTGGTGCACAAACGATGCCCAACCATCTGAGCCACACCCCCCAGGGCATATGCATGTATTTTTGAAAACTTCAGAGGACAATTGAACTGACCCTTATTAGTCATCTAGACCTGTGGTGATTTGTATAGCTGAGGTAAAAAGTGAGGCCCAGAGAGGGGCAGGTGCTTGCCCCAGGTCACACAGCCCTGGGTGGTTAAGCTAGTTTGCTTTCCCCGATGTGCCGAGAAGGAGAGGTTATTCACATGGTCAAGAGAGGGCTCTGACAGCCATTTCCTGCCCTGTCCTTTTGGGAGAGCTGAGAACTGGAGGAGCCCCAGCACCAGGGCAATGGTCACCGGCTGACAGACTGAGTCACAGTCCTGTGGTCCCATAATGCTGACTGTATCACAAGGGCCTCCCTCAGGTTATCTCCCAACAGCCCTGATATTTTGCTTTTGCCTCCCTTGGCCTTTTTATCTGCAGAATCACGGAGTCAGCTGGGGTTTGACCTTCTTGCAGGCAAATGAAGAGGAGCTTGGCTGGGAGGGTCAGAGCCAAAACACGTGGCCAGGGAGATGCCCACTCACAGCTGCTCAGCTCCTCCCATAATCGGGACAGGGTGCTCTGATTAGCCCTATTTGACAGATAGGGAAACTGAGGCTCAGAAAGGGGGGGGGTCACTCAGCTAGGGCACTCAGGGCCTTCTGGGGCCTGAGCTGTCCTCTCATGCTCAGATTGCCAGTTCTGAAGGGCATTATTCTGGGCAGAGATGCCCCCAGATGGGGACACCAAGGCCTTTGGGAGCTGGGCTTGAATTGAAACAAATGTTCTACAGTCACAGCTGTTTTTCTGCTCTTGAAGGAGTTTATTTCCACTTTAGTTTCTCAGGGAAAGTTCTTCTGGGAAAACTCCAGACTCATCTTGGCTGAACTAGAAACAGAATTTATCCTCACAGGAAGAGCACTGTTTACCTTCAGACCAATCTGGGCTCTGTCTCTTATCTGCTGTGTGATCTTGGCCAAGTCACTTAACCTCTCTGAGCCTGTTTTCTCATCTACAAAATGGGGTAATAATAACACCAGCCTTAAAGTTCCATTGCAGGAATTTAATAAAAGAAGAAGCTATGAGAGGGTGGGGCAGGGATTTAGTGGATGAGCCAGTCCCTGGGGAGTCAGGGAAGAGACGGGGAAGGCTGGGCTCAGCTGGGTCTCTCCTTCCCCCCATTCCCTCTTCCCCCCATGCCCAATTTAGCAGCCCTGTCTGGGAGGAGCCACCTCTTACTCAGCATCTACTGGGTGCTTCCCACATTCTATCCCATTTCTTCCTCCTAGGAGCTCTCGAAGAAGGGAGTTTTGTAATCTCAGTTTCCAGAAGGGGAAGGAGTTGGGGGGAGGGCCCAGAGCAGCACCACTCTGGAGGTTGCCTCATCCGCCCCTCCAGCCCTAAGCAAACTCCCTGCTTTCTCCCAAGGGCACCCATCTGAGGTGGGGTATGTAGTGGGGAGCAGCCTCAGCCAAGTCCTGTGGGGGCTGAACACTGCTGGTCCATTTTGGGAGCCCACTTGGGGGAAGGGAAGGAAAAGGGCTGCTCTCCTATAAAGGCTAACCCTGGGTCATCAGCTATCCTTTCCCCTTCCTGCCGCCTGGGAGCCATGCTCGCTTGGCCTTGGCTGGGGAGGCCAGGCTGGCCAGAGCCACCCTGCTCAGCTGCGTCTCCCTGGTAACCACTGTGGCTGCCTCTGCCCCTCCCCCATCTCCTTTTCTCCCCTCCACCCCCAGGACCTCCCTGCATTGGCTGTCACCACCAAGCACAATACCAGGCCTGGAAAAACTGCGTGGTGGGCAGGGCCTCCCTGCTTCCCGGAGAGAGGGAGGCAGAGCTTCTGTCCCCACCACCTGCCACCTTCACCCAGGTGGGGTAGGGGACACTGGGAGTGCCCTGCGGAGCCTGGCATCGCATGCTTTCCTGGCTCTCATCTTGGGGAGCTTTGCTGTCTGTCTTCCTTCTGGTAACAGCTTTATCAAGATATAATTCACATACCATGTAATTCACCTGCTTCATTAAGATGGACAAGTCCGTGGTTTTTGGTACAGTCACAGAGTTGTGTGACATCACCCCAGTCAATTTTAGGACATTTTCATCACCCCAGAAAGAAACCCTGCACCTGTTAGACGTCACTCCCCACTCTGTCTTCCCCCAGCCCCTGGGAAACTCTAATCTGCTTTCTGCCTGCACGACTTGCCTGTTCTGGACATTTCTTATGATGGACCCCTGCCCTACATGGTCCCCTGTGTCTGGCTTCTCCCACTGGCATAATGACTTCAAGGCTCATCTGCATCGTAGCTGTGTCAGCACTTCATTCCTTTTCCCGGCTGAAAAATATTCTACTGTATGGCTGTACTACGTTTTCCTTATAGGTTCATTCAGCCTTTGGGTTATTTCCACTTTCTGGCTCTTATGAAGAATGCTGCCGCGAACATTTGTGTATAAGTCTTTGCCTGATGGCTTCTCTTCTTGAAGCTTCAGTTTTCTTCGCTCTCTAATGGGGCTAAAAATGCCAGGCCTGGCCCACTCCTGCCCCCTGGAGTGGGCTCGAAGAGAAAAACCTGACATCAGCTTGAGGGGCCATGGAGGGCTGTGAAGGTCCGTGAGGGGCCATGAGGGGCCACGAAGGGCCACGAGGGGCAAGAATCTCTCCCTCCAGCTCTCCTGGCTGGAGGGGGATGTGTGGGTAGGCCGCTGGGAGGAGGGAGTCTCATCTCAGCTGCCAGGGACGGCAGAGCTGGCTAATTATCTTGACCCAAAAACATCCCACTTGCTGTGTGATCTTGAGCAGCGGCCAGGGACCTGCTCCAGTGATGGGGGGGGGG